GCTAGGTGGAAGTGATGAGACAAACAATGCGAAGAGCTTGGACTTTCTCGTTTGTTCTTTGCTCCCTAGAATCAATTGCATCAACTGGCTCCTTGTTTAGGTACTCACAAGCTTAGGTCGCAGGGATTGAAATATCTGGCAGGCTGGGGGCGTCCAGCGTGTGATGACCACCATCTTTGTGCAGGAGGTCTTTACGAGCAGCTTGGACATTTTTCTGGCGCCAACAATCAAGATCTCGCCCAAGAGAATCTGAATGGAGATTGGAGTGATGGAGCTAACCAAGAGGCCATTCAAGTTCCACTGTGGGCGGACCTTGGACTCTTGCTAGAGCCTTAAACAAACATCTCAGCCGATAATATAAACATTTTTCTTTTGCCATGAGGGCATAAGACCTAAGTCTTCGTTTACGGTGTGGCTCCAAGCATCAGTCGGACATTGTGGAGCGAAAGCAGCAACCTGCTGCTAATGCAATAATATGTTAATTGCTTCAAATAGTAAATGCATCCCTTCATTTGTCAATCATATATTTTTGGTTTGGCTAAGGGATGGGAGTGGATATACTTAGAATATATTTGGATATTTTAGGATATTCTACCACCATCTAACAGTTAAATTAATTTTGTATTTATATTTTATAAACTGTCCTAAATACTTATAATAAAATTAATTTTTTACTTATAAATTATAAACATGATTCTAATTGATCAATTGAATATGCAACACATAGCAAATTATTATTCTGTTTGATTCTCATGATACTTTTAATTAATATGATATTTTCATGCTTTAAAAGTTGAAGGACTGACAATTCATTTGCATCTCATAATACTTTTAACTAATATAATATTTTCATGCTTTAAAAGTTGAAGGATTGGCAATTCATTTGCATCAATTGCATTGTGGTTTCATATTTCCAATTAGGCACTGCATGACCCTAAAAAAAAATTATTATTAATTGCATAAATACTACAATCACTTGACAAATGCACAATGAGCCATACCCTTTGAAATTTATTAATATGATGGTTAATTGTATTTCTCAAAGTCTCCATATAAAACAATTTATCAGTCAAGTGTGTCTGGCAACAATATTGTTGCAGTAGACACATGAAGAAATTTTGTGGTATTTATAGATTTCTGTAAATTTCTTGATACTAAGAATCCAGAAATTGATCAAAAAAGTTTTAAAAGCTATGCTCACTTCCCCTCTTTTTGAGTTTGTATATCGATGTGTCAGAGAAAAATAAGATCTATAAAATATATCATAAATATCAATTAAACGTATACTATTTTGACAGACTTTATGTATCCAATAATAAAGATAAAAATTCAGGTTATAATATAATCGGTGACGAAAAACCCACACCCTGGAGCCGACGTGCAGAGCACGAGCACGGTCAACTTCCCGATCTTCCAGGTGGACTTCAGAGCCGGTTTAGGGTCACAACTTCTGGAGCTGGGAACAAATAGGCGTTGGCCGTCTCCCAGAACGTGAGAAGTATGTATGATTGCATTTGGACACCGACAATGTGCCGCGTTTGATTTCATATGAATGTTTTCTTACAATTTCCAGGAGTAATCCAAGGCACTGGTATCAGTGCCGTGTTATTCCGTCAGCTCAGCTCTCAAAAACATAAAGAAGAAGAGACAAACCTTTCCGATATCGTTCGATCGTCCGTAGCGAACGGATTTTCTGTGGTGGTCAGCTGGAAGGTGGTGCTGCTGGTGGGGGCTGCTTGGCGGATCTGAGCTCCAGGGGACCACCAAGCTCGGCTTTGAGATCAAACATCCTCTCTAGAGCGTGCATGTTTTCCAGCGTCTCGTTCACCGTCCTGGCGTCACTGCCATCGCTTCTCAAGTTTTGCATGGGCCCGTGGAGCAGCTTGTTGACGATTCCCCGGCTGAGGTCCTCGATGAGCTTCCTGTTCTTCTTGGACAACTCGTCGCCTCCCATCTTCGCCAGGCACTTCTCCAGCTCGCTCGTCCGGATCCTCTCCGCGTAAGCTCGCAGCTTCTTTATCGTCGGCACCGTCTCCAGCGAGTCCCTCCACGCCTCGAAGCTCCGCAGCTCCTCCTCGATGATGGTCTGGGCTTCCATGGCCTTCCTCCTCCTCTCTTCCTGGTTGGCGGCCACCACCTCTTTCAAGTCGTCCACATTGTAGAGCCTGACGGAGGGGACCTCGGCAACACAGGCCGCAACGTTTCGAGGGACCGAGATATCGATGAAGAACCTGGTTCCCAAAGGAGCAGCCGGGATCTTCTCAGCGTCATCTTTGTAGAAGAGTGGCTGGTCTGACGCTGTGCTCGTGAAGACAACGTCGGCCTCCCCGGCACATCTCATCATCTCGTCCAGAGGCTGGTACTCGAGCGTGGAGTCTGGAAACTCGGCCTGGAGCTCGCTCACGCGCTGCTGCGTCCTGTTGACGACCACCATCTTGGTGCAGCCTTTGGAGATGAGGTGCTTGACGAGCAGCTTGGACATCTTCCCGGCACCGACGATCACGACTTGAGCCGCGGAGAGCCCTCCATAGCTCGCAACTTTCATCGCTGCTAGCTCCACCGCCGCGGAGCTCACCGACACCGCCCCGGCCGCAATGCTCGTCTCCGTCCGGACTCTCTTGCCAGCCGTGATCGCCTGCTTGAAGAGCCCATTCAAGTTCCTGCCGAATCCGTTGGCACCCTGCCCGACCTTGAACACCTGCTTGACTTGCGCGAGAATCTGCCCCTCGCCCAGCACCAGCGAGTCCAATCCGGACGACACCTTGAACAAATGCTGCGTCGCGTCCCGGTCGCGTAGTATGAACAAATGCTGCCGGAGTTCTTCCAGAGGAACTCCACTAGTCTACCAATACAAAAGGAAGTTTTTAAGACTCTAGCACCAAGAACTTGAGAGCTCACCTTGGACATCCACTCGGTCACCTCCTTGACACCACGGTGCCACGAGAGAGCCACCACGTAAATCTCCATGCGATTACACGTACTTAAAACCGCCGCCTCCTCTATATGGTTGTGAGAGACGAGCTCGCCGATAGCGCGTGGCCATTCCGCCTCTGGCACGGCCAACTTCTCACGTAGCTCCACCGAAGCTGTGTGGACGCTCAATCCTATCACTAGAATGCTGCTCTTCTCGCTAGTGTATCCTGCCAAGAACACAATCCAATCCAATCTTATCAGCTCACGAGAAAAAAAAAACAGGAAAGCTAAACTTACTGTCGGCGCCGGCATTTCGGAGCTGTTCTAGAGCTGCCAAACTCGCAGCCTTGGCCCTGTGACTGGGAGGAAGACGAGCGTCTCCTCCTCCTCCACCAATGGAGCAAGCTCTCACGAGCACAGCCTTCCTGGGAAATCTACCAAAATCTCGATGGATGCAGCCAATCCTTGCGACCTCCACAATTCTGGAGCTGCTGGAGCTGCTGCAAACCTCCGTTATCGAGCCAATCGAAGAGCACAGGCCAATTGCGGCTGTGGCAGCCATTTCTCGTCCAGATTGCCCAAGACCTAGCCAGATCTGTCTGGCGCGCGCATTCGATCCTAGGGCTTTAGGAGAGAGTGCGAGCTACTGGACTTCTTCTCATGAATCGCCAATTTGAGCCCTCTTTCTAGGTCAAAAGCGCCCATCTGGTGCGCGTGGCTGGAACACGCACTGCCCATTCAAAGTCTAGCGTTGCTTACCAGCTCCATTCTATAGTGGTGGGTGACCGGACCACTGGCGGCTCCCGCCGGCCCGAGACGGAAGATAGTGTTCGCTACCGATTCCGCCGGTTTGCGGCCACGTGGGAGCCACATGAGCGCGGCTATTTGAGGCTCAAAGCACGCAGATTGTGGTGACGTGGCACTCACTGATTTGCCACCTTTATTTTCACCTTATCCTTTTATTATAGACGAGAACATCATCTTCAGAATTTTAATTTTATCAATTTAATTTCCCTGAATTTAAATTACAAGAAAAATATATGTTATTTTGAAATTTATATTTTTGAAATTATCTTGTAACATTGTAGAGTTTCAAATGAAAAACGCTAATAAAGTTCTTAGTATTTACCGACTTTATAGTTATAATTATAAAATAACAATATCTAATAAAAAACTTCTTATATTTAACATTTGAAAGTTATTTTCAATGTTATATATTTATTTTCAAAATTTTTCTTTTATATAGTTTTATTTAATCAAAGTTTTAAATATATAAAAATTGAAAAATAATTTATAATAAATTAGTCAATTACAATTTTAATAATAATTTTCACAAGTTTCTTATATAAAAAACAAAATATACTATAATATTTTTATAATAAAAAATATTTAATTAATTATTTATTTTTGATGATATTGGTATCTAATGCAATGAATTTATTGATACTTGATGTAGTAATTTATTAGTGATTATACAGCATAAATTTTTCCTAATTAAGCTTTAATGAATATAGCTAATAATTACAAATTGTTTTTAAATAATAAATAATAATATTATATATATCTTTTGAAAGTGGGATAGAGAGAAATAAATAATCCAATTGAATAATTAAAGTTTTAAAACAATCATATGAAAATAAATTAAAAACTAGCTTATTTTATAACTTTTGGATCATTTATGATTTTACAATTTTCCCATAAAAACATACTAAAACCTGCAAATGATAAATATCAGAAATAAGAAATAAAAATAAAAATATTTGATTTGAAAAAATCTAAATTTATAATTAATTTTTACTAGAAAAGATGCCATCATGCATCACTAAACAAACTCTAACCCCAAGAATAAACAAAAAAATCTGAAGGTTATGATTTCAAATCGTACAGAGGTCATGTTTATTGTTTGTCAAAACAATTTTAAACATTTTTGCTAGTTTATATTTAATAAGAAATTACTAATAAATATCCTTATAAAAATTTTATGAAAGTGTATTAAAAAAAAAATTTATTTTAATTGTATGAAATATAAAATTTACATTATAATTATTTGCCTTTATCTTTATAATTTATAGTTCTTATATATTTGATTTATTGACAATAATTCTTTTATTGATTCGATTATTAATTATTATAGTTTGCTGCTATTACTCATAATCTCTGGCGCTACATTCTCAGGGATCACCTTCTTCATGTAACGCATAAACTTCCACAGTCCCACGGCCCACTCCTTGTTCCCGAGAGGATCCACAGTCTCCTCCGGGAACGCAATCCCATATCCCCACAGCCCAGGAATGGGCTTGTCGCCCAGGACGAGCTTCCCACTCTGTGGAGAATGCTTGACACGTTCTCCATGATCCTTGGAGCCTCCACCGTGAAACTCCTCCAGCACCATCTCCGGGAGCTTGTTCCGCTGGAAGCCAATCGCGTAGATGATCTTGGTCACCTCAGGCATGGTTGCCTTGTAAATCTCGGCTTCGCTCTCGGGGCTCTCGAGGTGGTGTGAGTCGAGGCGTGGAACGAGGCCAGGCTCGAGGACTTGCTGCGCCCAAACGGCGGCGTCACCTTTCAGTCCCGTATTATCATATAGAATCCAGCCGTCCATGTAGACGGCATACTTGAGCTCTTGCCTGTACAAGAACTCCAAGAACTCATATCAATCGAGCAAAGAAAAAAAAGGAAAACGAAAAGAGTACCGATAGTAGTGAAGGATCTTGCGTGGTCTATTTGGAAGCTCGGCTAGATTCTTGAGGCAGAGAACGCCCGAGTGGCTTCCACCGACGACAGCTACAACGTCGGAGGGAGTTACTCCCGATTGTAGCGCGCCTGGGTCGAGAGCGGTCTCCAAGCTCAGCTCCTCGACCATCTTGGCATGCTCGGGACGGGCATAGAGTTTATGGGGAGCCCAGGAGGAATGCGAGGGGATGGGATGAGAACCTTGATAAAACAAGGAGAGCTGTTTACGATCAAGTCTGGAGTGGGAGACAAACCTGTGGCGAAGATCACACTGTCCGTGTCGACCACAGTAGCTTCTTGATCTTGAGCTTCGACGCCGAGAGCAACAGACCAAGATGGCTGCTGCACGAGAACTATAACAAGTCATTCATTCTCAAGGAAGATCACTCACGACTCCACGAACACGAAGGAAGAGAGAGAACCGTGACGAACCTTAGATGAGCCATGAACTCGAGTCACCCATCCTTGGTAGCAATCGACTTTGTCAGCGAGGTGCTGCTGGATTCCTCGGGTGAGCTGCGAAACCATCCGAGCCGTGTGCTTGAGCAAGCAAGTGCCTTGCGGATCCATGCTCTCAAACTCACCTAGAGGAGGCGGAGACATGGTGGCAGCGAGGCGAGCAAGCGTGGGCGACGCCATGGCGAAATCCACGAAGAGCTGGACCTTCGTGTTGCTTGGAACTCGCTGGTACCTGGCGAGGCGGCCGGCCGCGAAGGCTGGATCCACCCACAGGATTGGATGGATGCCCGCGTCGAGGAGATTGGCGATGGCTGCCAGCCCCGCTGGACCGGCGCCCACCACGACCGAGCGATAGGACGCTCTGAGCCTCATAGCTCAAGAAACTAGGGTTCTAAAGCCCTAATCCTTTTTTGAAGGTGGTATATTCTTAAAATTATAAGGGGTAAAAACGTTATTTTTATCTTAAACTTAAAGAGATCTCGCGTATTCCAAGGGTTATAAAGTACTTTTACGAATTAAATGCAGTGTTACAAATATGATTGGTAAAATTCCCGAAAAATGCCCTAGTTCCGTACAATATTGGAATATTCGTGGTCAACTTTACGTCGCGGGCGAGAGAGAGAGAGAGAGAGGTTTCTTCGCGGAGATGGCGGCTTCTTCGCTGCGCGAGAGAGGCAACAGGCATTTCTGGAGCGACTCGGAGAATCTCTCGCCACTGGTGAGGTATGATCGATTGACCAAGGCAGTGGCGGCCTACTCCTCCGCTCTCGCCCACCTCGATCGATCTTCCCATGGCGCTGGCGATGGCGATGAGCACCGCGCCGAGAAATCCAGGTGCCACAAGAACCTGGCGTCGGCGCACAGGCGGCTGGCGATGGTGGCGCTCCTCCGCCACGATTGCTGCGGTGAGGACGTCGCAAGCTTCCATCTATCCAGCTCCGTGAGGGATTCCCTCGACGCCATCTCCCACGGATCGGGGATCCAGTCCAAAGATTGGATCGCGGGGATCAAGGCGGCGCTGCTGGATTTTGCCGCCATCGCGGCCAGCGATCCAGTTCTCGGCTCGGAATCCAGCCTCGCCAAGGCTTGCAAGATCTTCCAGCGCCACCCCCAAGGCTCAATCCACGCTAGCGCTGTTCTTCACAGGGCGTACTGCGAGGCTCTCCTCCGCAAGGCCGAGGAGATGATCCAGGACGCGGACAGGGGCGAGGGCGTGAGATTCTTCCTCGCTGCGCTGGGCATCCTCAGCGACTGCGCGGCGCCGCTGGAGATCGCCGCCGCGCAATGCGAGGGCCGCGACTTCCGCGACTTCCGGCGCGAGCTGCGGGAGCTCCAGCGCCGCGTGGAGCTCAAGCGCCGGCTGTGCGAATCCATCCAGGCGAGGAAGAAGGGCGAGGATTTCCGCGAGCTGGCCGGGAGATCGCGGGATTCGGAGCAGCGGCTGGAGATCCTGGTGAGCGCGCTGGATCAGTTCCGCGAATCGGAGCGCCTGGCGAGGGATTGCGACGAGGAGGCGCGGGTTCTCGCGCTGGGAGGCGTGGGGCAGCTCCTTGTCACGCTGGGGCTGGAAGAACAGGGCGAGAGCGCCTACACGAGCGCCATCGCCATCGGCGATTCGCTGCTCCAGCACAAGAGGAGGAAGAATTTCTCCAAGCTCGTGGAGAGGATGAAGAGCGCGTACCAGGCCCTGGCAATGAGGAAGAAGAGCAAGAACAGGGATCACGAGGAGCTCAAGACCAAAGTTTTCATGCGCCTCGAGGCCAATTTCGCCAAGAACAAGCACAATCTGCCCAAGTTCCTCGAGTTTCTCCTCGCGGAGCATCCGCCGCCGGGGCTGGATCCCGCGGATCGCGTTCGGATCGTCGACGAGAGCGTCCAGTCGCCACGATCGGCGCTCAAGAAGGCGCTGCGGCTCTACCACCCGGATCACAACCAGAGCGGCAAGAACACGCAATGGAAGATCGTCTCGCAAGAGATCACCAAGTTCTTAGTCCTCGTCTACACGGACAAAACTTCTTAGTGTCAATAGCTATTACGTACGGAGAGTGATCTCCTTGTTCTTACTTGTCTAGTGTATATATATGTACGGAAGCTCACTCTTGCTTAGAACTCGAGAATGATGGACTTTGCTTTGGGTTGGTGCTGTCGGAGCTGCAAAGACACAACAGTTCTTCTGTGATTTCTCCAGTTCCCAGAGACTTGGAGGATCTTTCTTACCTTAACGTTGGCCATGGACAGCAGCTTGCGTGAGGCCGTGAATTGGAAGTCGGGGTGCGATTGCTTGTCGGTGTAGAAGATCACTTCGGCAATTCCTGCCTGAAAAGACAAACGAGAAGTTTAGTCGCGAGGGTGGTAAGATTTCAGTACCTGGATTATGACTTTGGCACACTCGTTGCACGGGAACATGGTCACATAGAGCCTCTAAACGGAGATCCAAGTGAAGGGAGAGCTTTCAACGTGGCATGAATTTGACGAGTACCTGACCGGATGCTGAGGCGTGATTCCTGTTGAGGATGGCGTTCACTTCCGCATGGCATACGTATCTGCAAAGAGATAACAACAACGACGTTGTCAAATCAGGAAAAACACGAAGAAAGACGAAGGAAATCGAGTGGAGAGAACAAACAAATGAGAAAACGACTTACGGATATTTGGTCTTGAGCAAGTCACCATCCCGTGATTTCTGCAAAGAGGTTCCAAGTGAATCTCAAGAGTAAAATACATGGAATGGAGCTTACTTTGGCCCAGGGAAGCTTATCGTCAGAGCAACCTCGAGGAAAGCCGTTGTAGCCAATGCCTGGAGAGTCCAGCATTAGCGGGAAAAACTCGAGAAAACTGGAAGAGAAATGTTTCATACCCAAGATGACGTAGTCTTGGCTAACGAGACAAGCTCCGACTTGTCGGATGGGATCTTTGGACCTCTGAGCCGAGAGAAACGCAATGGACATGAAGTAATCGTCCCACGAGAGATAGCTGCACGGACAAAGAATGAAGTGTTGTAGAATGCCAGACTTTAGAAGTGCCTACCCTTTGCGCTTCGTCGCGGAGAAAGGATCTGGCAAGCCAGGCCTGTTGTCAATGTCGATCTCTTCGTCGCCTGTCACAGCCGCCGCCGGTGTCTCTTCGATATCCACAGTAGTGGCAGAGTTTTTGTCCCGCGAGACTTGGATGCACGTCCAGCTTCCATTGTTGTTGTCTGCGTGAGAATGCTCGTCGCTGGTAGCCGAGGTGAATCCTACAGCCTTCTGGATCTTCTCTTTTCCAGCAGCCTACCAAAGAAAATTTCCAAAGGGAAAAAAAGAATGTAGTGAGAAACGAGAAAAAGGAGAACGAAGAAAGAACGAGGCTCTCCAAAAGAAATTCGCGAGCTTACCAGCGACGATGAAATTCCCTTGATCATCTTGGCAACGAGCTCCGCCGGGCGCTGGTGGGCGACATAGCAAACGCAGCAGTGGCATCCACACGCCGGGCATTCGATCTGATACCTGGACAGAATCCCTGGCGCGGCGTACACGGCCGCCACGACGAGAGCTCCGCCGACCGCCGCGGCGCCGGTGACGAGCAGCACATCCCTGGAGCTCAACGCGGGAAATATCCTCTCGATTCCTCCCCCGCCGCTGCTCGGCGCTGGAATTTCGGCGTGATTTACCTCGTGGACGTGGACCTCCGGCTCGGATCGCCGCAGTAGCTTGCTGGTTTGCCTCCACAGGTAGGCCGGATCCCACGCGCTCGTCATCTTGGAGGAGACGAAGAGCCCTAGAAATGTAAGTGCGCTTTGCTTGGTTTGGGAGAATATGCTCGGTCTGGAACAAAAAATTTCTCACCGTTAATGAATATTCTAATTGGATGCCAAATCAATTCTATTACTTTCTTTTTTCCTATGGATTACAATCTGTTTAACTAAGCAATGATGCGATCATTAGGATTCTTCATTTGACATTGATAGTTTTTGGAAATTTCATGGGATGTAGGTGTGATTCCTTAAACAATCTTGTGATTCGTATGCTTAGCATCTGATCGCATGATTGGAGCTTCGAGTGTGCATCAGCAAAGCTCTTCCATTTCGCAAATTTTGCATTCTCAAGTTGGAGACCAAACAGCCAAAAGATCTTCCCGCCTTCCGATGTTTTTCTTGTTAGAGCTCTTACTTTTATGGCTAACTGGGATACGGTTAGAGAATATTCGCAGAAGAAAATTAACTCTTCTCGAGCGAGCAATGAGCTCTACCAGATGCTATGATCGCCGACGCTCTTGTGGTCCCAACTGGAGCGCCTGGACGAGGAGTTGACGGGGCTGGACTGCTCGCCGCCATAGTCGTACTCGGTTCCGTCCTCCAGGATCTCGTCCGCGTTGCTGTTCCCGCAAGTGTGGAGCTCTTGATCCTCCTCCTCGCTGGGGAGTGTGGTGGTCTTGGTGCCCCCGGAGTCGCTGTGCCGGCTGCGCGCTTCCTCGTCCCGGGAGTCCTCCTCGTCGTCAACATATGCTCGGAAGTTGTTCTTGGAGGGCGGGATCGCCGCGCAGAAGACGTCGCGCAGGTTGCTCGCCATGCCCAGGTTGTACGGATTCAGCTTGTTCTCGTAGCGGTAGCGGAAGTTCTCGTAGGTGGTCTGCACGAAAGAAACGCAAAGAATCTGTAAGAGATGGAGTGGGTTTCTAGCAGCGTGCTCGAAGGACGAGGCACCTGGTTCGTGCTGATGAGGTAGAGATGGAAGAAAGTAAGCCCTCCAACAAACCATACGCATATGAAGGAGTAGACCATCAAGAGGATGGACGCCGGTGACTTTGCCATGGCTGTCCACACGCTGCACTGGCGGTCGTCCATCACGGACTTGATGTAGACGGTGCACATCGCAAACACATAGACGCACAAGAGCGTTGCCGACGACACGAACATAAAGAAGAAACGGTAGTTCCTCTGCAAGAGAAGGGGAAAGCTGGTCTGTAAGTGATAACAGGAAGAAGTAGAGCTTACTTGGCCAATGCATTGTCCAACCCATGGACAGTGGTGATCAAAACGCTCCACGCAATTGTTGCACACCGAGCAGTGAGAGCAGCGAGGAGGCCTGTAGAGCATACAAGTGTCACAGTACTTGGTCCGGACCGCAATGCCGTTTACAACGACATCTTTGGTTCGTGGGAGCCGCACTCTCCCGCTTTGTCCAGATACAAAATCCAGAGGTCTGTCCTCAACTTCGGGTGGATGGCGATTACGAGGTATAATGCCCGGGTCTGTACTAGAGGTGAGCAGTAAGAACGTCAACACCTGGAATGGAGAAGCGATCAATCAGTCCTCGTATCAGTGAATGGGAAAAGCGAGACAAAACTTACACATGCAAGGTATAAGACTGCTATAACCAGAATTGCCACTCCACTGCGGTGTGGAAAGTCGTCAAAAAGGTACCTTGCAACGCAGGAGAAGAAAACGATGGATGGGACAACAATCAAAACGACGGTAATAGCTACAGCCTTTGCATCCGGGCCAAGCACAAGCCTTCCGCCAAAAAGAAACTTCTGCCACAACAAGGAGTGAGGAAAACTAGATAAATCGAAAGCCGGGAGCTCACATTTCGTCCCTTCCAGTGTTGATAAAGACGCTTGCCCATAGCATGCCTCAGAACGCGTTTCCAGCATATACGCCATTCAAATCCGTCACTCTCATGTAGTTTCAAGGCGCTGTCAATCGAAAAACTGGCCGCATTTTTGTTTCCCAGCACCCTGCATTGGATTAAATCGTCAGCTGCGCATCCTCGAGAATGAAAAACCACTGACCTCTGCTTTCGCAGCGCTTTACCAGAGAGAAGGAAGGAGAAAAAAACAACGAAAGAAAGACAGAACAATTAGGGCTACTCTGATGCACAACCGCGAGTCCACGTGTCCGACAACTAAGTTTATATACAAACCGAATGCCTTCCTGTCTAGCTGCTTCGCATTTTCTTTGCCGGCTGGTAGATCGGCTCTTGCACCTGCGCAACAAATCAAAATCGAGTTCAAGAAAGACGAGTATCTTCAAATTACCTTGCTGGCTTTCATACGGTCCATGTCCATGCAGTCTTGGCTCAGTCTATGACAGTCCAAAGCAGCCGCTCCTCTAGCCGGGATCGTGCTTTCCTTGGACATGGCCGGCTGAAAGAGCATATCCGTCAACGAACAAAAAAAAAAAATTTGCAACATTAACCAATCGAGTACCTGGCAAATGGATGTTGTTGGAGATAGCGGCCTCTTTGAAAAGCCAGAAGCCGAGTCTCCGTGCCTGGTCACCTCGGAGCCGACTGTACGAAACAGACCGATCGTGGAGACGTTGCTGCTGCATTTGAGCTGCTGCAGCTTTGCTTCCACCTCCACGCGTTCCTTCTCGGTTTGATCACCTTCGCAGTCGTCACACTCGTTCTCGTCTCTCCTCTCGTTCTCGTCCTCACAAGGGTCAAGTGTGCTTCTCACCTGCACGAGAAGAAGTCAAAGGAAGAAGGAAACCGAGACATGCTACGCACCTTCAAAGCCACAGCGTAGTGCTTGCTGTTTAGATCCCCTACTTTCACTCTGATAGGAGTTTTCACCCATTTCATCTGGTCGTCCTCAGTGCAGCACCTGAAAAACGGAGGCTCGTAATCCTCCGGCTGCAAAAATGTTGATAGCATCGTCATACATTAAGGCATACCGTTAGATCGTAGTATAGAAGCTTCATGATGATGGTTCTCTGAGATCAAGGGGTAATTCAATCACATCGTTTCGCTGGAGGCAAGCAAGCAAAGAAAATCTACCTCGGTTGGAACGTTGTCAAGGGTGCGCATAAGCTGAATGAGAGTTCTCACGATCCTGCAAACGGATTTTCTGCCCAGCCAAAACTCGTTATGTCAGTTTTACGAGAATACTACTTACTTCATTGACTTCATCGTCTTATCGCCCGAGCTGACGTTTCTGCCGGATTTCTCATCTCCAGCCCGAGCAATCGTCATTTCGCATGAATTTTCCGGGTAGGTGAAGGAGACTGCATTGCCATTGGAAAAAATCAAAGAGCTGAAATAGGAATGAGACGTTTGGTACTTACACTCATACTCCTCAATCAGAGGCCCATCGTCTCCGCTACAAATGGAAAACATCATCGATCTCAGGTATTTCTTTTGCAGCGCATCATACACTCCTGAGGAACGATATGAAAAAAATATCAGGGAAGTGAAAATCTCTCGACAAGAAAAAAAGAACAAAAACCTTTTTCAATCCAGTCGATCAATCTCCGGGACTCATTGTCGTAGGGAAGAAGCCTCTTGACCTTCATATCTGCTCGAAATCTCTGTCAGTTTCCGGCCAAAGAACGTTAGCAATCGCATTACCAATGCCTGGAATGGGAGTGTCGGCGAAGTACTTCTCGTCAAACAATCCCCGGATGTAGCTGATGTTGAAGACGGCGATCCGGAGGAGGTTTCTAGTCTGGAAAAGAACGACTGAGCAATGCCGCGATCTTCCGGATCGGCGCGCTTACCAGCTGAAGCGATTCCTTCTCGGTAATCTCCGTCTTCGGCTTCACAGCAAGAGATTGCGCCTGGAAGAGCAAGAACAAAGAATTACCATCTCGAACAAGGAAGAACACGAGCCATACCATCTCCAAAGCGCTCGCAAAACCCTATGCGTTAAAGCCAGCCGGCCTTGCTTATATATCCGATAGAAAATTTTGAATCGGAGCGGGAAAAATGTGGCACCGGATCGATTCCACGCACAATCTACCCCTTTCTTAATTCAATTTATGCGCATTTTCTTACACTTTACCAATTCGCATTTTCTTGCTTAAACAATTAAGATAAAACTCGCCAAAATAGCATTTCACTTTAGAAATTATTTTGCCATAGAGGAAAAAATTCTCGCTTTCCAGGTGAGGGGATCGATCAGTGAGTGCTGGCTAGCTCCGCGCGAAGGATCTTGGCGGCCTTTACCATGTTAGTGAGCGCCGGGAGAACCTCGCCATACTTTCGCGTCTTGAGACCACAGTCGGGGTTCACCCACAAAACCTTGGATTCCAGGACGGCAAGCATCTAGTAAAAAAAAAAGAAGATCGATCAGGATCTTCCAGAGCGAAACCAAGCGAAAGATTTGTACCTTGCGAATGCGCTCGGCCATCTCCTCGGTGTCTGGAATTCGCGGAGAGTGGATGTCGTACACGCCGGGTCCAATGCCGGCTCCATACGTGACTCCCTCCCGGAACACGGACAGTAGCTTCTCATCCGAGCGAGAGTTTTCGATCGTGATCACATCGGCGTCCATGTCGATGATGGCTGTGATGATGTCGTTAAAGTGGGAGTAGCACATATGGGTGTGGATCTGTGGATTTCAAACAACGCCAGTGTCAGTCACGAAGCTATAGAAACTCGTCGCGTCTTTTACCTGAGTCGTGTCTTTCACTCCGCACGACGTGATGCGGAAACCATGGACGGCCCAGTTCAAGTAGGCGGCCTGCTCGGACTTGCGGAGAGGAAGACCCTCTCGTAGAGCAGCTTCGTCGATTTGAATCACCTGGCAGAATAGCTTTTGTTAGCACGCGGCCAAAACAAACCCATAGAACAACGTACATGGATGCCAGCTTTCTCAAGGTCTTCGACCTCCTCTTTGATGGACAAGGCAATCTGGTACGTGGTTTTCTCTCTGTGGTGAATGAATGAAACGTAAGACCAGTTAGCAAAGATGTCGATGAGAAAGACAAAAGCTCACCTCGGCTGGTCATTTCTGACGAAGGACCAGTTCAAAATTGTCACGGGTCCCGTGAGCATTCCCTTCATGGGCCTCTTAGTGAGGCTCTGCGAGTAGGAAGACCACTCGACAGTCATTGCCTTGGGCCTGCTCACATCTCCGTAGATGATGGGTGGCTTTACACACCGGGATCCGTAGGACTGTACCCATCCGTTGACGGTGAAAGCAAAACCTTGCAGCTGCTCACCGAAGTACTCAACCATGTCGTTTCTCTGGCGAAAAAGGACAATGTAGATTAGATCAGTTATGGAATCTGCCAAATCCTACCTCGGGTTCTCCGTGGACGAGGACGTCAATATCAAGCTCCTCCTGGAGCTTCACAACGCTGGCGATTTCAGATTTGATGGCCGTCACGTACTCTTCCTCGCTTATCCTGATCACACGGATGCACGGATGCATAAGATAGAATCCTGTCTAAAAGTCTTCACTTACTTCTTGCTCTTCACATCACGTCGCACTCGGCGCAGGTCAGCTGTCTGAGGGAAAGATCCAATTGTAGTTGTTGGCAGAATAGGAAGCTTTAAGTGCTTTTGTTGTTCATCAAGACGATCTGCCACAGGAGTTGCACGCCTGTGCTCCGATCCTTGAAGGGCAGCAGCCTGAGACACCAAGTACATGGATTAATGCCATGAAGGGGGGATTCTAGGACGGGCTTACCGCCTTCTTCACTTCGTCGTTGTGGACTCTAGGAGACGTCTTCCTAGAGGCCTGAGCAGATGCATTGGCCGCAAAGAACTCCTGGAGACGAACAAATACTTAGAAATGCAAAACATGAAATCTATGAACGCACCTCATCCTTCTTTCCACCGAGAGCCCCAGCAAGACTAACGACTTCGACGATCTTCTGAGCAGCAAATGCTAGCCAAGACTTGAGCTCAGCGTCGAGTTTAGTCTCGTTCTTGAGATCAACTGCTGTGTGGAGAAGTGAAGACGACGTCGATACCACAACGTTTCCTTTCCCCAGCTTGCTCTCCAGTTCCCCGAGCAACGTGAGCGATGAAGCGAGGTCATTGGCCCAAATGTTACGACCATCAACGACACCGGCGAACAGCTTCTTCGAGGAAGGAAACCCTGCTACCTTGATCAATTCAACAGTCTTGGTGCCGCGAACCAAGTCAAGTCCCACACCATCCACACATTCAAGTCCAGTGAGCAGCCTGCATATACAAACATGAGATGGATAAACGGCAGGAAATTATCCGCTTACTCGTAGGCCGGAGCTGGAAGATCCGCAAAGTACGTCACCACCAAAAGCTTAAGATCGCCAAAGCTCGGTGCCAGGTCGGAGTACGCCTTCTTAAAGACATCATACTTGTGGGACTCCAAATCCAGAACAAGAGCTGGTTCGTCGAACTGAATCCATTTGGCACCGGCACTTTTCAGCTCGCCAATCACTTCCCTGGAACCTCACTTCAGTAAAAATGACAATGGACATTTTAAAGTACTTGTAGACGGGTAAGAGATCCTCCAAAAGCCCAAGAAGATCGAAGTCCTTGGCAACTCCTTTAGCAGGCTTTGCCAGCGACAGGTAAGTGAATGGTCCGACCAGAACTGGAACAGTCTCAATGCCGAGCTGCAAACCATCCAAGAATTACATCCAGCAAGAATCAAAGAAACCATAAAACCAACCTCTTTCGCTTCAGTGTATTCCTCCAAAACCTTGCGCGAGGATAGCGTGAACTTAACCTCGGGACCGAGCTCAGGGACGATGTAGTGGCTGCCCAAAATTTCCACAACGTTAGCAATTCCACCACAAATCACATGAACTAGCCAGATACTTACTAGTTAGTGTCGAACCATTTCGTCATCTCCATAGCCGGTTGCTTGGCATTCCCTCTCGCCATGGAGAAATAGGTGTCGAAGGCCACATCTCCACCAGTCCAGCCATATCTGGGAGGAACAGCTCCCACCATGGCCGTGGTATCGAGGACCTGATCATAGTAGGAGAATGTATTGCTGGGGATGAATGAAACCCCGGCGTCGGACATCTGCTTCCAGATCGAGGCGCGCAGATCCTTGGCAGTCTTCTCCAAATCCGCAGCGCTCGACTTCCCATCCCAGAATGACTCGAGAGCGAACTTGAGCTCTCTCTTCGGGCCCATGCGAGGGTAGCCAGCAATGTGAGACGCCATGGCACAGGATCTGGCACAAAGCAACGAAATTTGGATCAAGATCTAGATCTAGATCAAAATGCGGAAGAGATTTCGCGAAGAATCGAGCTGGAATCGCGAGCGGTGCCTCACCTCGCGAGCAGCGCCGAGATTGTCGTGGATCTGGATCTGGAGGCCGCTGCTAGTCGAGACGGCAGTGCGAGAAACCCTGGCGCGCGCACCGAAGATAAAGGCCCTGGGCGAGCGTCACTGTAGCTGATTGCGACCACTACAGTAGGGCAAACACAAACGTCCACAGTGGGTTAGCTTTTGGCCAAGCTACTCTTCTCCACAATGCGAAGAGCCCTACCGCGCATCGTGACCGTTGACACCGCCACGGCACGTACGGCAGAGATTGGGGGTCAAAGCATATGGGCTGGTAGGTAATGCCTCTCCACACATTGTTTTGGAGGCGTTAAAAATTCCATGGGATCTTCGTGTGCCGCACGAAACATCGTGGACTTACGATAGGAATATTTCTCCCATTTACGTCGTCCCAGCCATGTAGCGTATCCTCAAATTGACCACATTCCAATGCTTTGATAGTTTGTTGTTGGCTTGGCATTGAAAATTTCTTATCTACCACGAAACTTACGAGTCCAAGCGAAGTTTTTTCCTTCCACTTTGGTAAGCGCCAGGCTAGAGAACTTACTTCGAGCTAAAAATCCAGTGTAAGTTTCGAATTTGTCTCACAGTGAAGATTAAGTAGAGTTCGCTTTCCTCACGATTGTTCCAATCCAGTTTTGTTCGATGTTTCCTTTCAAAGCTTGGAGAGCGTGCTCGGTTCCAGCCTATGTTACGAAATGATAGATCAGAAGAAAAAGGAAGAAAAGAGCTTTGTACCTCCACAATGTAGACATCCATTCCCAGCCGAGAGATGGAAGCTGCCTCAGCGATCTTTGTAGCCATTCCTCCAGTGGTATCATGAGAGGCCATCTCGGTTTTCACTGCAAGCGAACGAGTCTAGTAGATTGAGAAGTTAAAGTGAGAAGATTACCTGGGGCCTCAAGTCGTGGTCTTGCAATGCTCCAAGTCCCATCCTCGTAGACAACTAGGAAATAAAATTAAGTGCCATCGCCAAAAGCTCAAAACGTACCAATCTCTTGCAGTAAAACTGCATTTTCTTCTGACGGTGGACGATCAAAAACCCCAGGAACGTTTGTCTGCGATTCAGTCAGGGAAATACTTCAAAACGAAGCAAAAGAGAAAAAGAGAAAAATCAGTATACAAGAAAGACGACATAGCTAGGCTGTAGTTCCTCCGCAAGGCGGCGGACGATAACATCTCCACTCAGAATGCAGCAGCCCTGGTAAAAAAGTAAAAAGTTACCTGGAAGTCAGGCTACGGAAAACTTACCTGATGGCTATCGCGCACAGCATCACCGTGCAAGACCTGCAAGTTCTTTCGTAAGAGTCCAAGGGATAAAAGAAAACAAAACTTACGGGCACAAAGCCAGCATCGACAACTTCCCTTACTCCAGAAACATTGTCGCAATCTAGCTGCAGAAAAAACATATGCGTAACACGACGTCAAGAAAGCTACTACCTACGATGCGCTTATGAGTTGACCACCCAGCAGCAAATGGGGGCATGCCAACAGCAGGAATACCCTCTGAATTTGAGATAGTTACGTTTTCTCACAAATGATCAACAAAGTACTCACGTGATGCAAGCGCTCGGATCACTTTGTGATTGAGTTTAGTGACCTGATTGTTACAGAAAATTATGTGTCACTAGAGGAGAAATGGATCAACTTAACTGATAATCTTGTTGCGACAAAACCTGCATTTACGAGCAGCGAGTTGTCCAAGCCTCCCTTATTGACACCAGAAATGCTGGCTTGGAAGTGCCCGAAAGAACCTGTTTAAGCAAACAGCTACAAGCTTTAGTCCAGGACTACAGTAACAACAATCTTAGAACAAAATGTGTTGAAATCATACCTGCACCATGGACCACAACGAAGGCATGCTTCTGATGGAGCTCCATGTCAATGGGATCTGGCACTTCTAGATTTTTGCTCCAATCCATGTTGAAAGACACGCCACCTCCCATGGCTTCGTGGAGCTGCAAGCTAGTCCTAGACAAACTCTCGCGGTTCAAAGCTTCGAGTTTGTCCTTGAAAGTAATAGCTGCGCCTCCTGGAAGGCACACAGGAAATAGTGAGCACCAAATAAAACTCACAAGAGAAAACTTACCAAGTTTCACAATGCAGCGGACATGGTGCTTTCTCGAGGAGCTCTCCATTGAAATGGAAGCGAAACAAAACCCTAGTGTCGAGGAGCTAAGCTAAAGAATGATACAATTGACTTACAGAAACGTTGTCAGCTTTATTTCCCGGGCACCCACAGGCAGACGTGGGTGAAATGCTCTTGTCCAGCCAAATTTCTGGCCACCCAGTCGAAAGGCAAGTCGAGGTTGGGCTGAATTCCCTGAATTTTGACCGTGCCATCGAACTGTACACCCGGTCCGTATTCGTCAACTCTAGAATCGCTACTGCTATGCTCGGGATCTTCGGAGCTGCTACCAAAATATTGAGGCAGAACTTTCACCAGTGCGTCTCCTAAGGTGAACGCTAGGCCTGCTCAAACAGAAGGTAAGTGAAACTAGGCAAAAGAAAGATTACAAGCTCACCTTCTTCTTGGCGAAGAATTTCTACGGGTCTCGTCAGAATCATCACTTCGTTCCAGCTTTTGACTGGGGCTAAAGAGAAAGGATCATCCAGACCGCCGTTCACAGCACGAACGTAAAGGCGTAGAGGTACCTTCCCTGGAGTCCAAGTTGATAGAGTGAAACAGCTAAACCATATCACCATTTCTAGCTACCTGGCTTGCCTTCGATTCTCCCAGGACCAACAAACTGAGCTGCGATGCGATCGTGTTCTTCCATATCCCCTGAAGTAGCAAACTACAGATATAGTTTCCACATCAAACACAGGTCGCAAACCTTTCACAATGCTGCTCCACAGGTTGTTCTGGTCGTTCTGTGTCAAGTCCATGACGTTCTTCGTGTTTCCACGAATGATGTACGACGCCTGGACAAAGTATTCGAACTTACAGGCCATACAAACAACAATTGCGTTACCTCTTTCAGAGTGTTCATGAAGCTCCATTTCACAGCTTCATCGCCCTCGTAAGGAGCCATCATCTCGGAAGGATAGCCCCGAAAATGGACCTGTCATATCAGCCGCTAAACACAAGGCTCTGTAGAAAAGATTCTTACTGTGAGATCCCACGGCCTTTGTGGCTCAAGACACAGCAAGTCAAACAGAACACCAGTAGGAATGTGCCTATCCATCCAAAGAAACAATTAAAAAGACCAAAGAAATCTTAAGTGACAAGGAAGTTCTAGCTAGATTATACCATTTGAGAGGCAAACCTTTGAAATCGAACCACAGAATCTGATCGCTGGAAGGGGTAGAAGACGAAGGAGAAGACAAGACAGCGTTCTGGAAATACTGCCGGATTCGATTAGCGAGGAGGGGGAGGTATCCATTCCGAGCAGCCATTAGCTACAACGCATCAAGCACGAGATTTTAGATGTTTGGAATGGAAATTCTTTCGATGAAAGAGCAAGATTTGCATTTGCACCAGGACAATCGAAATCTTACCAGAAGCGGAAGAGGAGCTGGCGCCGTAGCAATCTCGGAAGGATCCAGCTGAAAAGAAATGGGGATCGCGCCCTCCCAGACATGGCGCCTGGCATCCATAGCTTGTAAGTGTTAGCCCTAGACTCATAAAGTATATTCCACACGTCAGAAAAGTAGTTTGCAACGTGGCATTTATTCACAAAACATTCTCCACGTCACAAAAGGTAGTTTCCCAGGTGGCGCTAAATACCCTAAACCTTGGAGCGCCTCTGTTGATCTGACGAAGAAGGAAGAAGGATCGAGGGCGCTTTGATCGATTCTTCCTGGAATTTTTTTCGCGATTTCAAGCTGATCGGAAGAATGGCGGCTGCGGCGGCAGAAGCAAGCGAGCCGGCAATCGATGTGAGTGAAGAAATTCTCCCGCAAATCCATCGATCAATCTGCTCTTGTCGCAGCCCAAATTCAATGGCGATGACGTGAACAACATCCTCAAGGAATGCCTCGATGAATCGCTCGCAAGCTCCCAATTCATGCATCACAAGGCAAGCTTTGGATTAAATTCATCAAAAAATTTGTGTGTGTCTTACCTCTATGCGATCAGTGGCGATCTTCTTATAGATCGGCCAATGGACATCCACAGTCTGCGAGAAATGCATGGCCAAGCTCGTAAATCTAAACAAGCCCTTCAAGTATATTGGTAAAAATTCCGTCCCCTCTTTGCCCTATTGAAATTTCTATTAAATCTTCCTCCATAGTTACCTGTATGATCATGCAAAAGAACGGCGCTGGGCTTGTCACGGCAAGCTCTTGCTTTTGGGATCCACTAGCCGACGGTAAATCTGAACTAACTACATACCAATCACCAGTAAGCTTTTCTTCTAGGTAGCCGTACGATGCGTTGGGAGAACAAGACAATGTACGCCATTGCCACGGCATACGCCATGGCAATCTAGGTCTCCTTGGTCCAACGAATTCGTGAGCAAACCCTATTGAGCAGATTGGCCTATTAGCTCAGTCGGTTAGAGCGTCGCGCTCATAACGCAAGGGTCGCAGGTTCGAGACCTGCATGGGCCAACACATGTATTCTTTTGCAGAATTTAAGTATTTGGGTAATTCTCCCCATAACAAGTTTGATCCTAATTCTACACGCTAACTCAACACTTCAATTAACTTTTGAGGTGATTAAGCCTTAAAGGGCTTTGGGAGGAATTATAGAAAGCTTGAATCATAATGTTGTAGAAGTAATGGGCAAGTAAGAACCGTTCACATGGTTCCTCACTTGGATTTCATCATTGTAACCATTAGAAGTTCATTAGCAATGCAAAATTAAACAAAAAATAGCATCACTAAAAACTCGTAATAACCCATCTTTGTTTGGAATGGCATTTTTGGAACATCTTTCAACTTGACACAAATTTAATAATACCTTGACTTCAAATCAATCTTTGTAAAATACCAAACACTACAAAGATGATTGAGCAAATAATTGATACAAGGGATTAAGAATATATTCTTCACCAATTTTTTTTTCTTTGTCAGCTCAAGGTGTGGCATAGTTTACTTTTTAGGAGAAGGGTGAACTTGACACTGGGAACTTGATAGAAGTTTACACAAAGATCAAACCCATGGAGTTCACATGATACATCTTACAAAAGAAAAGAAAATACAAGCACGAACAAGATCAATGGATGCTTAAGGGACCATTGATGGATTGAAAAGAAAGACCAAGATAAACTTACAACCTTTAGCAATCTCAATCACAACAGCAACATAGAACCTTAAAGAGGAGCTTGCTAGAAAGTTCATGACCAGTGTCGAATTTAGATCAACGATAACCCACTTACCAAAGTTATTGTGAATGGATAGAGGTGGATTATTTATTATTATCTAGTGAAAACCTCCTACCATGATGTGATCTCCTATCTTATGTGGAAATATCATTGGCCTTTCCATCTGTGAGCACTATCTCATGGTTCCAAAAAGTGACCAATATCGTACGTTTGGTGGCCTGCAACGCAACCATGACCGTTGGATGCGCCACCCCCTCCAATAATGACGAAGAGAAACATCCAACGGTCAACATTTAATACTGCAAACGCGTGGCCAGCTCCCAGGCGTCGGATGGTTGCTTCTGACGGCCGGGCTTTCTCCCTCCAAAACCCGCCGGACGAATGATGGGACGGTAGCGTATGTTTGTACGTTTTACTCTATATATTTTCAAACTCTCCTTCGCAGACTTCTTCGTTCTTCAATGCCATGGAGGGCGCTAGGGTTGGAGGAGAATCGCCGAGGAGGCAATAGGGTTTCCATGGATCCGGCTGGTCGATGAGGAATGCGAGCTGCGGAGGCGAGAGATTCCCTTTTCTGGTGAGTGAGATCGGTCCCTTTTGCGTGATCCTGCTAGCGTGCTTGATCGCTCGAGATTTCGAGGTGAAACGCGGGATCTAAGCTGCATTGCGTTGTGACAGATGATCGAGGAGTGGAGATGTGGCTCTGGGTTGTGGCGGCAGGATCGGGATATCTTGCACGGTGCCTCCAGAATGCCTCCTTCTCGAATCAGAGTAAGAGGCTCCGGCTGAGCGACGATGAAAACATTTCCAGGTCTCCACCTGATCAAGTCGACTGTTTGTTAAGCGAAGAAGCTCTACGGGTGAAGGACCGTTTTGAAAGACTCGGAGAAGAGGAGAAGAGTGTCACTCAAGAGCACGGTGCTGTTGGATCACAGAGCGTTGATGACAAGCGATGGAAGAGATCATGCTGTGGAAACAGCCCGAGGGACGTGCTGGAGGCCAGTCTTGTTACTTCCTTCCAAAAGGGGATTCACGAGTCGAGATTGAAGTCGAAGAGCAAGACGAAAGGTTGGCCATCTTGGCCAAGAGCTCAGAGCAGATGCCAAGACAAATGCCTCAACTCGGACGACTTCGAAGGAACTACTGTCGAGATCAACGAGGCACAGGCGAGGAATGGATTTTCTTTGGAAGGGAACTCGGGAAGTGGTGCCAATGGTGGTGATGTCTCAACAGTGGACATGGACGTAACCGTGAGAACTTCTTTGGGGGATGTTTCCTGGACTACATCGAAGCAAGACGTAGAAAATCTGTGCCTGGATGATCTTCCCAATATCCTGGACTGGACTACCATGGCAGCAGCGCAGAAGCATAACATGTTTGGTCCAATGGATGGGAGTTTGGCAACTTCGAGAACGAAGAAGTTATACGACCGCAAGTCGAGAGGGAGGAGCAAGAGCAGGGACTCTTCTGTGCCTGCGACTCCAAATATACATACGGTTCCGGCTTCTCTGGCTATGCTACCGACTGCAAGGAAAAGGAAGGCTCTCAACGGAAGTTCAAACATTTACGAGAGCTCAGGTTTGTGGATCTTGTTTGTCTTTGTACTCGCTCACCTTGACGGTTTTTCAGCTAAGGAGGTGCTCTTGTTTGCGATGGGCGTACACGCTGCTATGACTTTTATGGTTCTGTATAAGAAAAGAGAGATGGAGCTTCCACAGCAACCAACAGACACGCAAAACACGAAACTTGGGATAGAAATTCCTGATGATTGTCACGATGACGATGATGAGTCCATGACAAGTGTGGTGACAGTAGAAACAAAGACGGATCCCATGGCCGTGCTTGAAGCGGAACTCGCGGCAGAGTTGGAGATCATGCAGCTCAACCTGAGTACTGGGAAGGCAAATGGGGCCGAAGTAAGTTCTTTTAGTTTCTGTTGACGTGAATTTACCAAGAACGCGGTGTTGTGCAGAGGGAACCATCAAATGTGTCTAGCAGTTCCAGTTCAGTAAGCCTGCAGGATGACTTCATAGAAATTTTTGACGATGGCTCGTCGCCTCCTCAAAATCAACATTGGGCTATATCCCCTCGGGAACTCGACAGAAGGCTGCATATTGTTCTCGAGGAAAGGCAGGCAAAGCAAATAAAAGAGCTCGAAGCTGAACTGAAAGAAGCAGAGAAAAAGCTCCACATGAAAGATGTGGAAATTCGGTCATGGAAAGACCGTGTTTACCGCATGTCAGAATCTTCGCTCATTTCTCCAACTGGTAAACATTCTTGCTTACAGTTGCTTGAGATGATAATTAATATTTTTTTGATCTATACAGATGTCGACGAAAGTCCGACTGCACGCCCAGCTAGCAGTCGGAGGAGATGGTTTGCTGAAGAACTTGGAGGTCCTCCACTTGAAGATAGCTCGTCCAGATCTGGCAGGATCGTCCATTCTCTACCGTCGCTTGTTTCGGCTATGTCAAGCTGTCACATAAACGACGAGGATGACGAAGCGGATCCTTTGGAGCGTAAACGTAACATGAGGAGTAGCTTTATGATGGATCGGCCGACTTACAGATCGTCCGTGACAGTTTCTGACATTACTGGGAGGCTCAACGAGAAAAATGGGAGGACTGGTGCCTTCGATCCTTTCTATGCTGGCAAGTTTTCAGCCAGCGGCAACGGCGTGCTTCTTCCAGCCGACCCAGAAGCAAGACAAACCGATACACAGATCCATGAAAAGCTAGTGCAATGGAACTCGACGAAGCTCCCGTATGACTACCAGCAGTCTCAGGTGATCCGGACAGTGGAAACCATTGAAGAGCGGCGGTACCAAAGAACTCGTTGTCAAGCCAGCCTCGAGAGAGAAGAGAAGTGGCTTGCTAAGAGAGGGAAGTCGCGGCACTCAACGGGAAATCTGATATCGTCTCGGTATCGCAGTCAAAGACCCCGAAGGAGGTAAAAAACTCAAATCTTTTTTTGATCTACGAGCCTTGAAAGAGTTTGTGTGTGTGTTGCAGGTGGTTCAGTTAAGTGGCATTTCAGCAAAACGGGAAACAGCGAAGTGACAGGTGTGGGGCAGTTTGTACATGTGTGCATCTAAAACGTAATGCGAGACAGACAGTTCAAGCGGAACTTTTTCCGCATTTCCTGCAGGTGAGAAAACTGTGGGATTTATCGTTGAACCGCTTATCGTCTTTGTGCAGTGTTTTACTTTCAATGCACTTGCGGGGTCTGTGAACACAGTAAAGTCTGTGTCTTTTGCTTGCGAGAGACAAAGCTTTGTAACAGTTATTGTAAAATGATTCTCCACCCAGGTACAATTGTTTTGGTTTTCATATTAATCGAATAATTTACAGCAACCAAAGCAAAGATCCTCAAGCCAAACAGGATCACAGCAAACCATCTGTCGTTCGTCGTAGCATATGTATGGGATCACATATACTTTCAGGCCTTGAAGCACAGGAATCCTCCAGGCTTCTTGTTTTGAGCTCTGTACTTTGCTGAAGTTTCTTCGATTTTGAACATCTCCTCGCCTTCCTGCGCGTGCGCGAGAGCTCGTCTCTCTTCGGCCATCTTGTGAGCGGCTGCAATTTGATTACGCATTTTTTCGACGAGTGCGGCTCTCTTCTTCTCGAGTTTCTCCTGCACAGGTTTGAGACATGTTAATATTTAATTTTTCAAGCTAAAAGTTTGCTAATTAAAATTGTTTCTGCTCACCTCAGCCTGCTTCAACTTTGCTTCAGCTCCAGCCTTCTGCGAGGCCTCCCAGGCACCGATCTTTGCAATCACCGCGGCGCACCTGTTTGCCAACAAAGAACAAAGGTAAGAACCAGCAAGAACCTCTCAAAACGTTACTTACCTGTTGGTGGCTTTCGCTTTGCGACTCTCTTCCCAGGCCTTGATGTTCGACATTGTCCTCTCGTGTTGGACCTTGGCAAGAGCGGAATCTACAGCGAGAGAGTAAACGGTCCGCTGGAGACTCGTGAACCCGGCAACCAAAACTTCGTACCTCGATCCATTGATCCGCCTCCATCAGTCCTCAACGAAGACGAGAGGGAATTCTTGCTGGAAGGGGGACTTCCTGGAGCAGCCTTCACATGAGCAGCCTCTGCAGAGAAGAAATTGGGGAGAACTCACAGGGTCAGGAAGAGAAACAGGGGGCACAGCGAGAATTCTCGTTACCAGGATGGGTGGTAGCCGCATGAGCGTGGTTGGCGTCGGCAGGAGCGTGTCCTGGAGAAGGGGGGCTCTTCACATTTGTTCCAATCACCGACGTGGGACTGGCCGTCTCGGCAGTGACATTCTTGTCGACTGGAGCGTGAGTGACTGGAGCCACTGGAGCGTGAGTGACTGGAGCCGGTGGCGCTTGTTCCGTCATTCTCTTCTACGATGGAGCTCGCTCGCTCGCTCTCTCTACAGCCAAGAACAGCCACAGCTTAATTTCTCGACGACACAGATAGAGACAAAGAAGCAGCCAAGAAAAATGGGGGCTTTTGCGATGGAATTCTCGAGGAATTTGCGATGAGGAGATGAGGATACCGACCTTGGGAAGAAGAAGAAAAAGAAGAAGCGCGTCTAGGAGTGTTGCCAAGGGGAGAAGATTGTGTATAAGCGCAGAGGAAGGGGGGTGATAAAAGATCTACGCTCAAAAGGATCGAGAGTGGGCCATTCGCCAAACACCAACTCGTAAAAAAGAAAGAAAAGAGAGAGAAAGACGAACGCAAGCTAATCTCTCTCTTGGTTCCGCCGTACACGTCACCGCTGGATTGACGGGATGTCGTACAGGTGATTTGCTTGATCAAGGCTATTATTATAATCTCGAGACGTGGCCGTGGTGGATTCACTCGGCGGGCCACGTGGAGGGCCCCTGCCAGCTGGCTTTTGCTCATGGTTTTTTCTATTCGAGCCATAATTTTCTTCGTTAGCAATTTTTTTTTAAAAAATAAACTGGCATGGATGGATGATATCGCAACGAGTCCGGTTTTGCAAATCGAATTCAAGGCGTGTGTCGTTGTTGTCAGGAAGAACAGAGCTGCAAAACAAAGACTGGTGACAAAGATCTTTCATTCTCACATTTACCGCTAGAAAGAACACTTGATAAAAGAAAAGGAGGCTCCAAGCGTCCCCACTTAAACAGCTACACCAAGCAAAGCACCAGCTTTAGCCCATTGAAAACACTTAAAAACAAAGCTCTCGAAATGGACTCCAGAAGGAAAGCGAGCCTGGATTCGAAGATAGCATCCATATCGGAATGGAAGCATCCGATGCCCCTCAAAACTGGGACCCCAGCAGACGAGCTACACACGTCCCATTTAGTCAGTCACACAAGCCTGGCTTATCGATGAGATAGCGAGCACTTACTTTTCTTCGAGTAAGTAAAAGCTCCGTGGCGCATCTGGGTAAAATAATGAACAGTCAGTCGGAGTCTCGCAGATAATTATCAGACGAAAGGAAAAAGAATATAGTACAGATCTTGCCATCTTACCTGTGTACTAGCTACGCTTCTCGCCCCAAATGCCTGTAACACAGAAAGTATGAATATCTCTGGCTGTTATCTTCTACAGATAATGAAAGGGACAAGGAAACTTGATATTTACCTTTAAAGAAGTTCCAGTGTCGCCAAAAGCACCTTTTTTCTCAGCTCTTGAAATCGATCAAGTAAAGGAAATATTTACTATATGCTTTCTCTGTCAAATCTTTCAACTGGTGCTAGCTTGCTTTCGAAAGTTGAGAGATCATAGCAAGCTGAAACTGTAAAGTCTAGGAAAAACTCACATTGTCAAGCACACTTGCCGGCGGACTTGCCGATTGACCGGATTCTTGCCGACTTCCTTGTTTCGGTACTTCCTGGCACTGGCACGTTGCAAAGTGGTGAGAAGAGAAAGCTAACAAGAAGAAAAGACTTACCTGGTTCAACAGCTATGCTTTTCTTTGTCGGTGTCTGTAAACAAGGAAATCATAAGATCAATTCAAAAGTCTTGGTACTGGAATGCCACAGGTCATTACCTCGAAAAGTGTTCGACTCGTTGTCACCTTTGGAGCATTTTCTTTTCCAACTTCGTTGTGATCGCTGGTTTTGGAGCTCTCGTTCACAACCTGGAACTCCTTGTTCCCGTTGCCAGCCTTCTTATCCTGTGCTTGATTTGGCGAGATTGCGCATCGAGCAGGTACTTTCGCTTGCTTCTTACAGCTCGAACGCAGACGGGGCTTGGAAGTACTCAGCACTTCCTGGTTGCCCGAACCTGTCATCATGCACGAGACTACCTCCTCCATCAGGGCATCCACGTCCATTTTCTCGACATCCAACTCAGGAGCTTCGTTCGAGGTTTCGCCAGCCTTCGACTCTGGACGGAACACACATAGAATTAGAAAGAACTATGGTAGAACTTTCCAGATCCAGGTACCTGACTGCTTTCGTCGAGGTTGCTTCTTGTTGCTTTCTTCAATCCTCTGAATCGCGCGTATAGCGCATGCACGGCGAGGGGTACGTCGAGGAGCAATAACTTCAGCCGAAGGCTTTGGTGGCGATTTCTGCGCGTCCAACTTACTGGTGGCACCAGTTTCATGGGCATCAGTAGTGTGAATGACGCCGTTGATGACCTCAGAGGTAGCATCGTCTTCTGGATTAAGCTTGTCAATGACAGAAACCCGTGAGCACTCTTCGTCACCGACATTCTCCATAGCCTTGACTTCTTTAACAGCTTTGCCTTCGTCAGCGTCAGTATTGATTGCAGGATGCTGACTATCCGACTGCACGTCCGGGACATGTTCCTCGACTTTAAGAGAAGTTGAAACTTCCAGGTGGCTGTCTGCGGGAGTCGAGTTGAGATTGTATCGAGCAGTATAGGACGCAAGGCCTTTTTGGATGTCAGCTATCGGCTGCACACACATGAGAGAAAGGGATCATGCCAGGAGAAAAGAAATCTGACACAAATTAATCAATACCTTTGCTCCACAGTCGGTAGCAAGGCGGAAAAGCCCCACCGAGACGGCGTGCTTTCCTGCTTTCTCCGCAACACTCACCAGCGACAACCAGTACTTTGCGGACTCGAGCTTGGATCTCGCAAGTCTAACGGAAGCGGGAGTTTTCACCGACGGTTTGCTCTCAGCCCCTCTCTCGGACGTCACAAACTGCTGGTTCGTAGACGGCGTCTTAAATGAGAACTTCTTCGCCAAGCATTGTCTCTGGCTGTCGTACTTCTTGGTGGATCTGGACAACAAAACCCCAGAGAACTTGGATGAAACTTGGCGTCCTCTGGTGGCTTTCAACGGGGTTTTATCAATCTCCTCCTCTTTCGTACTGCATGACAACTTAATCATCAGCTAAAAGAAGAAAAATGGCATTTTTACCTCCCATGCTTGCGGATCTTCGGATCCCCTCCCTTGAATCCACTGTATAGACGCTTAAACACATTCTTTGGCACTACATCCATGAAACACAAGTGATCATCAGAAACCCGTTCAAATAATACGCATACCAGGGTGCGCAGCTCGAGGATTCACTGCGAGAGGCGCCACATTCTAGAATCAAAGCATCGTGAGTGCGCAACTCTAGATCGCCGTGCGGCGCTTACCTCGTCCATTCGATCGATCGAGCAACGCCTCCTTCCCGCAAAACCCTAGCTCTGCAAAGCCCTCTGATGAGTGGTGGTTCAAACAAAAGAAAAGAGAGGGAAAATGTTGGCGCTATGCGAATATTCTCTTCCCCGTGGATCGACACCGTTAATACGGATCGAAAATCCCAACCGTTGATCGAAGGCTTATTCTATCGTTTTGCTAGAATAAATTTTACATTCCCAGCGTTTACGCACAGAGTGAGCATTTCCAGCTCGTTTGGCCCCAGTCAGTGGTTCTTTTTCCCTTTGCTTTGTTTCTCGCAAGCTCGCAAGCTCTTGAGCAAGCTAAGCAGCTCGTATGATTTAATCATCGTCATCTTCGTCCTCAGACACATCCGTGACTGCAGGAAGAAAAAGAAACATCGGCCGTGTCAGTACAGGAAGAAAATCTTCGCAGCAATCGTACACAAAATCGACACCACAAAAACACCGGTCGTGTCACAGGAAGAAAATCTTCGCAGCAATCTTACACAAAATCGACGACAAATATTCCCTCTCGGAGTCACACAAAAGAAGTACGAGGCAATGGTTTCATGCCACAAAAGAACACACAACCAAACCAAGCATCAAACCAAGAATAACGATCAACACTTAAACTGAAAAAAAAATTTAAAAAAATCAAGGAAAGAACGCATGAGACACCACGAAAACTGCGCATACAAAACCAAACACCACCAAGAACACAGAAAAAAACCAAGAATTAAAGACTAGAACCGAAGGAAACGATCAAAACTTGAAGAAAAACTAGCAAGGGAAAGATGCGACCACAATGTAGAGTACGAGAACAAGGCATAGAAACCATATAAAACCACGAACACATCAAGAACAAAGGAAGAACAAAGCAAAGAGAAAGAACTTACAATCTTCGTCCTCCGAAAAGGCTGGCCAGCCGCAAGGCGAGATGCACGCCGTGATCTTCCCGTCGCTCAAGTTGAGCAGCTTCACAGTGACGGGCTTCACCTTCTCCTCCTCCGATGGTACCCAGTAAGAACTCCCAGGAACAAGTGGAAGCCAGTCGGGGGCCGCCTGTGTGATCTTCTTCTCGTCCACCAGCGGCAACTTGCGACTGCTAGTGCTAGCGCTGCTGGTGCTGCTAGCCTCCGCCTCCACATCTATCCCACTATCCTCGGAAGAACTCGACCAAAAGTGATTGCCCCTCCTGCTGATAATCTGGAACGCCCCAGCTGCGCTGCTGTGAGTAAACCTGCGACCGATTCGTGCCCGCGGCAGGCAGCACACCCTGGACAGCATCGCCAGCGCCTGGAATCTACTCGCCATCCAGCAAGAACAGCGTCGCGCTTGATAAACCCTAATGCCGGATCTTTCCACCACCGATCGCCATCGTGGCGCCGCGAGAATGCAACGCGCGCGATCTGGAGAGAAATCGTGAGCGCGATTTCGAGAAATTCTCGCCTAGAACAATACCTGGTCGGTCCTCTCACGCCGACAACGCAGCCGCCATGGCAGCCCCTTCCCGCAAAATGGAATGCCCGCGGCCGGAATCGAACCTGAGACACTTCCCGCTACGCCATCCAACGGCTCAGAGCTGTCGCATACGTGGCAGGCAATCAACGGCTCTCCTTTGGTTTCATGGGGAAGCTATGGCGATGGTGGTGGCGCGCGTTCTCGCTGTCGAAGTAGGGCTCCTGGCGAGGAATTGATCGCAGCCCAAGTCGGGAATCGGTGGGGATCAGCTGCCCAGGTGGAGAATTTGCGTCGAGGATTGGCGAAATCGATGATGCACTTCCGGAGCTTCGAAGAGTTCTGGCCCTTTTACATGAATCAGCACTCCAAGCCGACGACGCGGCGATTGCATTTCTTGGGCACGAGCTGCGCGACGATCCTGCTGGTGGGCGCGCTGCTGATTAAGTGGTGGCTCTTCTTCCTGGTGCCAGTGGTGGGCTATGGAATGGCGTGGTACAGCCATTTCTTCGTGGAGGGCAACACGCCGGCCACATTTGGGCACCCGCTCTGGTCGTTTATGTGCGATTGCAAGATGTTTGGATTGATGCTCACTGGAAACATGGACAAGGAGATCAAGCGCTTGGGGAAGAGGCCAATCTCACAGGTTTTCTAGCTCCTTCCTCGTTTTTCTTTTGATCGATGCGATGCGTAGCTAAATACAATGCGAATTCTTTCATGTGGGGATTGTTTGATCCGGTGGTTTTTTCCAGGAGGTTGGTGGAGCAGCTCGCAAGGAATGAAAATTTCTTCCAACTTTCAGATGATTAGCCGTTTGACTTGATGATCCCAAAGCCGCCGATCCCATCGCTGTTTATAGCCCACTCTTATCTCTGGAAATTCTATCATCTATCCATTTCATCCGCTAAAATCTACTGCTAGTTACAAGATTTATATGTCCTTTCTGGCAGCCATAGCCTAACCGCTTGCAACCACCGTAGAGAATTCCCTCCTCTCATTCTTCCCTAAAAAAGATTCTCAGCCAACTAGGGCTACTTTGGGGGTCCCGATCGAGTTTGCGCTTTCTTGGGTCGTCAGTCACGGGCATTTGGAGACGTGGGTCGCGCCCCTCGCAATCGCCCACATCGCCATTCCTCTCCTCCATTCCTCCAAGCTTTCATTCCTTCCTTGGTTATGTTTATAAGCAGGCTCTTTGAAAGACAGAGGAAGCCAAGAGAAAGCTTTCCAGCGTTAAAAGGTACCTAGAAGAAAAAGGCTTCTCCCTCTCTCGATTCTCATACCAAAAGAAAGGAAGAAAGGATCACAGTGATCAAGGAAAGAAAAAAATTTCTCCAGAGCTATGACAGTAGCTAAGGTACATCCGCTAAACAGGAGGCAAACGATGGTCGTCGTCTATGATATCGAGGCCGCCGCCAGCGCCGTTCCATCCACCGTGACGAGCAGCAAGCCACTCAAGCGGATGCCACACCTGTTTGCCAAAGTTCTCCAGCTCCCCTTTCGATCGGACAAGGACGTCGAGGTCCACGAGACTCCGGAGTGTTACATGTTTGCGATCCAGCACTCGGGCCTGGCGGCGGAGGATGTCCGGGTCCAAGTTCTCGAGATCGTCCCTGGAGCTGTCAAAGTGGTGGTCGGGCTGCTATCTTCTTCTTCCGACGAGAATCAGGTCGACTGCTGGAGGTTTCGGCTCCCACCCACGACCTCGCCAGAGGCGACCCGGGTGGAGTACTCGGACGAAGTTCTCCTTGTCACGGTTCCAAAGATCGAAGCCGGGGGTCTGGACAGACTTGCTTGAGATGGTCGCCACCGTAGAGTTTTCTCTTGTAGCATATCTCATCTGGAATAAAGTCTGGTTTTCCCGTCAGTCGCTTCGTCTCACACTGTAGATCATGTCTATCGTCGGGGGACTTTCCGCGCCACTGTTAACGTTTGAAAATCTCGACGAGCTCGAGTTTCCGAAGAAAAGTATGTTTAGATTCGCAAATGACTTAGCTTATTTACATGCGTAGCGTGCGTGCGTGCCTCTTACGTCTACCACATATGGATCCCTTTGCTGCCACCGACGAGGAGAGCCATGAGTGCCTGTTTTGCGGAGTAAATCAGTGAATGCGTGAACACCAGAAAGACTTACTGCAATGGCACACGCTGCAAGCCCGACGTGTTCTCTCGCGTCCGTCTTGATGCAAAAGAAAATGAAAGCCCCCACGAACCAGGGAAGCGAAAGCGTCAAAAAGCCAAGGATGAAACTACAAGCCAAAACAGTGTGAGCGATTCAAACATCATATCGAAAGAAGTTTCAAGCAAGGAAAGAGAAAAAAAAAAAAACAGAGCGAGCCGAAGACTTACAGACACCATCCAATTCCAAGCCCGCAACACGGAAGCCTATCGTGATGCTGATAGTGATCGATTCTCTCGTATCCTGTTACACAAGCAAAGAACCGAAAAAAAAAGAGAGATTTCTTTAGAGATCCTTTGTCCAGGACGAAATATCTAGATCTAGAGCGCGATTGAGCTCAAAGAGATGAATCGATCAAGAGGTACCTTGAGAAGAAACGTAGCCCGGGTGATATTCCTGCTGCTGCTGCTGCTGCTGCTGCTCGTACTGACTAGGGTGTACTGGCTGCGGGAAGCTGGGATTTCCCTGAAATGTGCCATAGTAAGCTGGAACTCCCAGCTGCGTGCCTCCTTGCAGATGGCGCTGCTCGCCGCCTTCCTCGTTCTTCGGCCCTGACGCGGTCATTCTCTCGCTTCCTTCCCTAGAACCCTAATTCAAAAGAACAGGGGATTAGGTCTTTTCTTTGCATGGATTTGGGGCATCTTGGAATTTCTCGCATGGAGGGAAGGGATTTCTCGAATGGAGTTGAGAACTTCCACCGCCGACGAGAAGAATTCGCCGGCGTTCTATGCAGCGCTCCTGCGATCGTGCGCGCGCTCCCAGGATCTCTCGACAGGACGACGGATCCATCGAAGGATAATCGCCACCGAGCATCGCCAGAACAAATTTCTCCAGAATCTCGCCATGGAGATGTATGGCAAATGCGGCAGCCCGGACGAGGCGCGTCGCGTCTTCGATTCGATCCCCTCCAAGAACGTCTTCTCGTGGAACATCATGATGGCCGCGTACGCACACAGCCGTCGGATCGAGGACGCCCGCGACGTGTTCGACCGGATGCCGTTGAAAGACGTGGTGTCGTGGAACACCATTCTCGCAGCATATGCCGCGTATGGGCAGCTTGACGAAGCGAAGGTTTTGTTCGACAAGATGCCGCAGCGAACAGTGGTGAGCTGGAACACGATCACGGCGGCGCTCGTTCACTACGGGCGTTTGATCGAAGCGCGCGAGATGTTTGATAAGATCATCGATCCAAACGCAGTGTCCTGGAACATCATGCTCGTGGCATATGCCCAGGCTGGAGATTTTGATCACGCGGAAGAGATCTTTGCCAAGATCCCAGACAAGGATGTGGCATCGTGGAACACAATGATCGCATCGTACGCCGACGCTGGAAAAATCGAAAAGGCGAGAAAGATCTTCCAGACAATGCCGGTGCGCGATGTGGTGTCTTGGAACGCGATGATCACTGCGTTTTCTAGGACTGGGCATTTGCAGCAAGCAAAGGTGGCGTTTGACACGATGCCAAAGCGGAACTTGGTGTCCTGGAACGCGATGATCACGGCCTACTCCGAAGCGGGGGAGTGCGATCGAGCAGTGGCGATGCTGGGGCTGATGGATGTGGAAGGGATGGAGCCGAACGACGTGACGATCATCGCGCTGCTCACCGTCTGCGGCAGCACAGCCAAGGTCACTCAAGGCAGAATCGTCCACTCGAGCATCTCGAGCAAGAACAGGCTCGTCTCTCACGTCGTGGTGGCGACCGCTTTGATCAACATGTATGGCAACTGCAGCAGCATGGAGGAGGCCTGGATCGTCTTCGCGGGGATGGACGAGAGGAACACCGTGACTTGGAACGCGCTCATCTCCGGCTACGTCCACAACTCCAACACTCGAGAGGCGTTCATGCTCTACGCGATCATGAACTTAGAAGGCGCGGCTCCAAACCTGATCACCTTCGTGGCCGCGCTGGATGCATGCGCTGGCAATCTGGCGCTCGCTCAGGGCAAGATCATCCACGGCCTCGCCGCCACCGCTGGCTACGCGGACGACGTCGTGCTCGCCACCGCGCTCGTCAACTTGTACGCAAACTGTGGCTGCCTGGGACGAGCAGCCGAGATCTTCCACGCCATGCCGGTGAAGAGCGAAGTCACCTGGAACTCGATCATCGCGATCCACGCGAGCTTCGGCCTCGGCTCCGCGGCGCTGCGGTTCTTCCAGATGATGCATCTCCAGGGCGAGGAGCCGAGCGGGGTGACGCTCATCAACACGCTCACGGCGTTTAGCCACACGGGGCTGGCGCGAGGAGGAGCTGCCGGGTACTTGGTCTCGATCTTGATCGACTACCGCGGGTTGCTGGAGCTGGATCACTTCGTTTGCGTCATCGATATCCTCGGCCGGGCCGGGTGGCTGCAAGAGGCGGAGGATCTGATCGGGCTCATGCCGTTTGAGCCGGATTCTCTGTGCTGGATGACGCTGCTGGGAGCTTGCAAGCTCCATGGCGATCGAGAGAGGGGCACGGTTGCCGCGGACAATGTGTTTAGGCTCGATCCAGGGAATCCAGCGCCTTACGTGCTCCTCTCTAGCATTTGTTCTTCCAAGAAGCTTGGAAGAACTTCTAACGGGGATGATCACTCTTCTACTCCAAGCGTCAAGGAAGTGGAAGTGTTGCTATGAATCTGGATGAGAAGTTCCTCGAGGATGGCGACGGCGATGCTCGAGAAGTTTTCTCTCAATCCAGCAGTGGCAGCAGCAGCTCCAGCGCCACGATCACCGCCATCGCCGATCGACGACGATCTCGCCCAGCAAGACGAATTCGCGAGAGTGCTACGTTCTTGCTCGAAAACCCGGGATTTGGTCCGTGGCAGGGAAACGCACTCGCAGATCCTCGCCAGCTCCCAGCGCCACAGCCGATACCTCCGCAATCTCCTCATCGAGATGTATGGCAACTGCGGCGCCATCGCCGACGCGCGCAAGATCTTCGATGGCATCCCATACCCGAACGTCTTCTCCTGGAACATCATGATGGCCGCCTACATCCACAATGATCGCGTCCGCGACGCTGGCAATCTCTTCATGCTTGCCCCGCAAAGGGATGTGGTCTCCTGGACAACGATGATCGCTGCATTTTCCCAGAATGGGCATCTGGAACTCGCGCTGGAGCTCTTCTCCAAGATGCCAGGCCGCAACCTCGTCTCCTGGAACGCGATGATCGCCGCCTACGTTCTAAACGCCCGCGACCGCGAGGCCGCGGAGCTCTTCCAGCGCATGGATCAAGAGGGCGTCGCGATCAATCACTACACCATCGCGAGCATCCTCGATGCCTATGGAAACTTGGGCGATCTCGCGAGAGGGGAGCTCACGCACAGCAGGGCTGTCGCTCGCGGCGACGATGGCGACGTGATCGTCCAGACCGCGCTGATCATCATGTATGGCAAGCTCGGGAGGGCGAGTGACGCTGAGGCGGTGTACCGCGCGGCGCCGCCGGGTGACGTAGTGGCGCTGAGCGCTATGATTGGAGCTTATGCCCAGAGCGGGGATATCACCAGCGCGAGGAGAGTTTTCGATCGATCCGCCAGCCGCGACGTTGTGGTCTGGACTGGGATGGTCACTGCGCTTGCGCAGAGTGGTGATCTTGAGGAGGCGCGGCGGCTCTTCTCTGAGATGCCGATCCGGAACGCTGTGAGCTGGTCCGCGATAATCGCAGCAAATGCCCAGCACGGGCATGGCAAGGAGGCGATGCGGCTGTTCAAGCTCATGGATCTCGAGGGGCAGTTTCCACACCAGCAGACGATCGGCAGCCTCATCGATGCTTGCTCCGCGGATCCGTCCATGGCCGAGGCCAGGATCATCCACTCGGTGATCCACGACAATGGATTCAAGCTCGACGTGATCCTGTCCAGCGCGCTCATCAACATGTATGGGAAGTGCGGGAGCCTGGATCTCGCGCGGGAGGTGTTTGAGACGATGGAGCAGCGGAACATCATCTCCTGGAACACGATGGTGGCGGTCTACGCCGAGAGCGGGCATGGCGACGAGGCGCTCTACATCTTCTCGCGCTTGCATCTCGATGGAGTGGTCCCTGACGACGCCACCATCTCGAGCGCTCTGGCGGCGTGCTGCCACTCGGGGTTGCTCGAGGACGCGCGGTGCTTCTTCCACTTGAGCCACGAGTATGGCTTGCATCTCACGCTGGAGAACTACGCTTGTGTCATCTTTCTCCTCGGGAAGGCTGGGAGGCTGGCGGATGCCGAGGAGCTCATACGCACCATGCCGTTTGAGCCGCGAGAGGCGACCTGGATGACGCTGCTCAGCGCTTGCAAGACGCAGAGGGATGTGGATCTGGGAACTAGAGTCGGGCAAGCAATCCTTGATCGTGATCCAGACAATGCCGGACCTTATGTGCTATTGTCAAATGTTTACACTTGATAGGAGCGAGTACCAAGATTCAAGATGGCGGTGTAGAACAAGATCCAAGATCCACTTCTATCACCATTAATATGCTTTGCATGGAGTGAAGAACCGTTGGTCAGGCTCTGAGCAGCAGCACTCTTTACGGATTGGCTGGAACCATCGCTCCCGATCACCACCTGGATTACGTGCCACGGTGCCTCGGCGAGCTTGTCGAAATCGGCTGGAGAACGTCGGCAAGGAATTCGAGGCTTTAGTCGCGCAGCAAACGCAATAATGCTGGTGATCACGACTCGGGGATATCTGTCTTGGATTTCCATGAGTGTAGAGGCGGCTTTTGCTGGAGAGCCTAAACGACGCTCCTGGGGATGAGGCGCGAGGCTGCGACGAGAGGGACTCCAACCGTGCCGATGGAGGTGTTGGCAGTGCTGAGGCTGTAGCAATTCGGCCGGCCTTGGCACTGGAACTGGAGATGGTACGAAGGAAGCTTGCAGTGATTTTGAGCCCCGGCTGCTACTGGGCGTAAGTCACAAGCGGGGACAAGCTATGGTTGGCAAACACGACCGATTTGTTTGGAACAAGATAGAAGACTGTCAGTGTTCTAGAGAGAAGGTGTCCCCAGTCAGCGTCGAGGTGACTGGGACTGAGCCGCGAGTACTTCACGAGTAATTCTCGATAGCTTGGGCACTGAAGCTGTACTGCCCGATGATCGAATTCGAGACAGCTGGGAAGAGCCGATGCGTTGCCTAGACAACAACTCCGTAAGTTCCTCCGCCTCCCCCTCCAAGAGCCTACAAGAGATCGCGGCTTGTGCAAGGATTTGCGACGAGAAGCTCTCCATCCGTCAAGCTACAGGAGCGAAAGCATTGCCGAAGCTTATATCCTTCATCTGTTGCGTCCAGGTGCTGAAAGAACCAGGCGCGGTGTTGAACCCATGGCCGGTGTTTTTTATCACGAAGTACTAAACTCTTCGCGGATGAAGAGTTTGTTTTGCTGCTCAAACTTGACCCACTCTCGGGAAGGCCAGGCATTCAGAGGCGTATAAGGCAACATAGGGTTAATATATCAGGGTCCAAATCTCCATTTCACAGCCGTGAAAATGGCATTGAAAATGAGGCCATGCTGATTTGTCCACCTCACTTTAATGATTATTATATTCATACACGCATATGAGATAATGTCGCCTAAACTTCGGCCCTGTTTTTGCTTGTTCGATCTTTTCTTTCCTCTCCAATGTGGACGCCTCAGATGTGGGAAAAATCCGAAGCCAGATCAAGGGCAGCCAAACGAAATCTTTGATCGTTAGGTGAGGCATTGGCAATTTCTGCATCCACAGAGCAGCATCACAATGCTCCTCACTATGCAGTCGACTGCTGTGGCAACCCTGTTCATTGTCCTATTGTTGAAGAGGAGGATGCTGCGACAGGCCAGCTCTATCCAGTAAAGATTGGCAACGTCCAGTTTCCTGGTCCGCCTTCAACTGCAGATGACTTCCAACGCAGCCGGTTTTGGCGTTTGTGCATTCTGCCTGTTCATTTTCAAGTTTTCAACGGAAGAGGGTTTTTGAAAGTCGAAGACCGTGGTGCAGACTCAAAAGCAGCAATATGTGATCCAGTCGACTTCAAAAAAGTCATGGGTCGTGAACTGAAACCGGTTGCTGCTATCGGTCAAGCTATACAAAAGGCAAAACAAACAGTGGTTTTTATGTAATGAAGTGTTTTTCACGAGAAGCAACATTTTGCCGGTGAAAGCGCAGAAAGGAGATGGCTGACGATGTGAAGCAAGAGGCACAAGTCTTAAGTGCGAGAAAGGAAGAAGTATGCAGCTTGTAAATGGACTGAAGCATCAAACGGATTTAAGATGAAATGAGTGTGCACCAAGCAACCAAGTTGAAGATCAACTGCATGTAAAATTTCGAGTAGTTCTTAAGCTGAGTTCAAAGCTACTGCAGGCATTAGAGGTGGAGTTTGTCCGTGCTGAGTCCAGACACGGCTTGTGACCACGGTTTGCTAGAGGCTTGAGCTCATGCAGGTCGCGTTTGAATTTGAACAACATTAAAATCACTGAAAACATCCCTAATAAAATCAATTAATTCACATTCAACCAATTAAAAAAATCGCGAGCAGAAATTGAGGTTCTAATCATTAGGTTTTACGGTTAAACTAACGTAAACAGTATAAAATTTATTTTATAAAAGCTGTGATGAGGATCGATTTGTAATTAACAAGTAATGAACAGTAGGATAAAGAAAGTGTACCTAACGTTGTCCCACGACAAGGTTTTAAAAAGAATATTTAACAAGTAATGAACAGCAGGATAAAGATAGTGTACCTAACGTTGAAAAAGCTCTCCCACGAGGTGCACGCAAGGTTTTAAAAAGAATATTATGAGTGGTGATGTAAGATGATAAGATGGAAAACTCTCCCACGAGGTGCACGCAAGGTTTTCGAATTTGCTATAGAAAGCAGTGAAAAACGCTTTCTAGAACCCTACAATTGAGAAGAGGCAGCCTCAGCCTGAAATCAAGAGAAGCGGCATGAAGGTACTCAAAATGTCACTCATCATGGTTGTGATCGCATGTGCATTGATACAAGCCAATGCGAGCCAACTAAACTTGTACAAGGGAAAGTGGTGTACAGGATCTTTTACTGTTGTATGGGATCGCCAATGCGCTGAGATACCCGAAGATGCTGTTTCGTACAGGTTTTACTATAATCCGGATTGGAAGGCCACATTTTTCTCAGATGCAGGTTGTGCAGGCGAAAGTGGAGAGGTTCTTGCCTCAGACAGAACATGTGTTCAGGGTCTCGAAGGCATTGGCAGCGTCGTGATATCGGATGACTCATTTCCAGCATCTTGATATCTCGGATGAGCACTTGCCAGTTTCACTGACTCCTGGCATAAATATATAGCTTGCAATGTCATGAATAATATCATTTGGTGATGAGTTGTGACAGCAAGGATAAGGATAAGATGATTTTGCCTCTGTTGCGGAGGAATTCCATAATGCGTCTTCATAATCAGGAATCTGCTCAATGAGACAAGTGCTTAGTAAGTTTCTGTTAAAAAGAAGCACGCACCTGTGAGAAATCTACAGCGGGAAAGTTTTGATGGCATTTTGTGATGGAGCGAGCTCCTTTTGTCACAACGATAGGTCGTCTATAGGACAACAGAATACTCTTGAAAAGTTGGACAAATCTCCCTCTAATTCTGGCATCTGCATTTCAATCAATGGAAAAAGTGGAGCCTCCTTTGGAGGGACGAGCTTCCACTTCCCAGACCCCAAGAAGCGAGCCAAAAACATCACCGAGTATGTGACGCACACAAGCAAAAAGAAGCTCCCAAAACGGGTGAACTGAGCAGAAATGTTCATGTCAAAAACCCCCTGTAAGAAACAAGACCGGCGTTGGAGATGGAGAAACAGCAGACGTACCACAAACGCTTGACTGGCACACTGAACAAGGTTCAGTTTGCCGAGCGTACGAATTTCCGTCAAAGCAGAATATTCTAATCCGTACAGCGTATTCGTTTTAGAGAGAATATTCTGGTGCGGCGGGTGAATAGTTTGTGTCACAGTTTCACATATATACTAGTCATTGCCCAGCATATGTTGCCCAGTTAGCAAATACTATTTTGATTATCATAGTTATATTACATTAAAAATTAAATTAAATTATTATCAAAATAATATATATTATTTTCCACTTTGAAAGAAAAACTACAAAAATAACTATACACATATATTTTTTCATAGAAAATTATCAAATTCCTTAAAGGGAATTATAAGATCTAAGTAACACAGCAAATCTCCATTTTAAAAGGTTGAATATCAATGCCACGATGCTTTCTTCTCTTGCCCAAGCAATTGGCCACCTCCCATTAGCTAAGAGCAAATATTAGTGTCATTATTTGCAATTATTCAAGGCTGGGCAAGTGTTTGAGAAAAACCCAGTGAAAAATCTTGTTAGCTGGAATGTTGCTATTGTAGCAATTGCCACAATTGGGGATCTGGAGGAGGCATCGCAATTGTTTGATGGGATGCCTTTCTACAGTCTTGTGTCATGGACAACGATTATCACTGTGTATGCAGATTGTGGAATGGTTGATGAAACTAAAAATTTGTTTCTTGCGCTGGCACATAGAGACATCATCTTCTAGAACGTAATGCTTTTGTGCTATGCCCAAAACTGGCATCTGGAGGAAGCCATTGCCCTCTTCAATGAGATGCAAAGCAAGATGTCTTGATGATATCAGTTTTGGCATCAAGAAATGATTTAGAAAACGTAAAGGATCTATTTGATTCTATGCCATTACAAATTGTAGCCACTTGGAACTCTATGATTATTGCAAATGCTGTGAATGGGCAAATTGAAAAGGTGGCTATTGTTTTCTTTGAGATGCCCAAGTGGGAGTGCTGCTTGTGGAACAGCCTCCTAGGCACAATCAGAGAGGATTGATGATGCAATCGTGATGTTTTAGAGAATTCCTTTCAGAGACACAATTTGATAACCACTCTCGTGGCCATATCAGTGACAGCGGTGATCACTGGATTGCATTGATCAGCGCTAGATCTTTTCCACGAGCTCCACCCGGCATATGCTACCTAATTAGCAAAACACTATTTTGATTGTCTTAATTTTGTTATATTGAAAATTAAATTGGAACAGTATTAAAATAATAAATATTGTATTCCAGTTTGAAAGAAGATGTAAGGGAATTATGGTTAACAAATGCTAGATGAATATAGCAATCAATGATTTTGTACAAATTTTTTGCTCTTGTAAACTTGATAATATATAGACATAAGTAAGAATAAACATTCATTAATAAAAATATTAGATACAAATTATTATTTTGAAATATAAATATATTTAGAAAAATACCTGACTCAAAAAATAGTAAAACTAAAATTTCTATTATTAAAATATGTTATATGGAAATTATATTCTTACTTGGAATAAACTTGCCTTAAAATTTTATCAAATAAAAGAGAATAATTACTAAGAATAATTATTACTAATTATTTATTAGCAAGAAATTAATTAATTATGCATTTTAGAACATAAAACAATAAATATGTAGGAACATTAATATATTACCTCCCATTGGCTGGGAGCAAACATCAGCACTCCCTCCTCCTTATTATAGGAGGAATCCACATCCTGCCTCATTCTCTGCTTGGACGCATGATCCTAGCTTGCCCACTTGTGCCACAAGCCCGAGGGTGGCGAGATTGGGAATGCTAATGTTGGGCAGCGTGAACTGCAAGCTTCTTCTCTTCATCTTTGATGTCCAAGATGTCTTTAAGGAGGAGGAACACTTTGTTTGATCTTATTAGACTGCAATGATTGTTTGGAACCCCATGCCTCATAGTTGTAGTGAACCCATCAGCCTATGAAGAAAGTAGAGTTCAGAACTAGGTGATAGAAACAAAGGGCTACCTTGAAAGACTTGGATGGTACCATGCCTTCTCTGTCCACGTACTTGAAATCGGCCTACAAAGTCCAAGGTTTCTTTGAGTAAGCATTAAGAAAGAATGCATTACCTCACTATGGAGAATTTCCTTGAGCTCAACTATTGGGCATTTTTCACTCTTTGCTAGAAATAATGGAAAAAAGTTGCCAATGAAAGTTGGCTATCAAGAACCAGATGTGGAATGGAGTTTTGCATGAAGTACTATAAATGTTGTAGAACTTAAAAATCTTTTTTGGAAGTTTTGCAGAGAACCATTGATGGTAGGACTCATTCGCCCACTTGAAAATGCATCTATTGAAAGGAATGGGTATTGTCATGTCATCATAGCTCAGCTGCATAGAAAATATTTAATTTACTAGCATAACCAAAGAAAAGAAAAGAGAACTTGATATACCACTAACTGTGTGCTCTTTAAGTGCAACTTCCATCTCAAAAACACACTTGAGGGTCTCTATGAGAGTAGCTTGACATACTTGGGATGCAAAATCTACAAGGTTAGCAAAGTAAATTTAGTGTCAAAACTGATTTCAATGACCCATACTAATCATCGTGCTATGTGATGTTTAATTTGCATTTCTTCTTCTTTTCCTGCTGGATAACAAAATCATGCTGCCCAATTAGCAAACACTATGTAAGTGACTAATTTTTCCATTCTACTTTAGTCACTTAACCACACCTCTGACCACTTGGAGGAGTCTCATTTACAACCTTCATAAGTCCAATTTAGGACTTGGGACTTGCTATCCTCAAGAATGGCATCCATGCCACTCAACACTTGCACTTGGTCCAAGTGCTCCACGTGTCTGGTCCCAAGACTGACACCCAAAGGTACCACTGACATATCAGCCCGTTACGCTAAGGCCATGCCCATTCACCTTTGCCGCACTAGTGGTCAAATACCACTTGCATCACAATCCCGTCTCTCCAAGACTGGGCCATCCGTCCACGAGTGGTCATCCTAGATCCACTCCTTAGCATCCTTAGGATGCCCACAGACCTGGGGAATAACCTTCCCCAAAGTCCCTTTGTCAATTCCTACCAAGTCCCTTTTCTGTCCATGGCTATGTTTGCCAACATTGCCACTCGATCCAGGCCCACAGGCCCGACCACTAAGTCCCATGGTCCTCCAGGACTTCTTCACCATGTGATTGTATCCATAGTCACTACGCTAGAGGACTACTCTTCCTCCTTTCCCCCATTTGGGACTCAAGGACAACATTTCGGAACACCATGGGCCTATGCGAGCCCCGTGGGTACTCTCCCCACCTTCCGCCTTTAGGTGCTCTAGCCATGGGCTTAGAGTGAGGTTCCAATGAGCCACGCCTGGCATCCAAGTAGGTAGTGCCACCCACACTTGGACTGGGAGCATCGGCCAGTCGATCTCCCGGGGGAACTAGAGCCGACTCTTAAACACTTCACCAAGCTACCCCGCTTGTCGGCCCATGTTCACTCTAGTCTTGGACTTCCTAGTGGTCAGTTCATCACCCAACACTGGGTCTGGCCTTCCTGGGCCAAACTGGCCTTTCCTGGCCAAACTGGCCTTTCCTGGCCAAACTGGCTCCACTGTAGTCCTCCCCCTTACTATACTTTTGGAGCTCACCAAACCCCCCAAGGTCTGAGAGACGAACGCTTTGGGCTTTCACCCTCTCAGACTCGAACTCGGACTCAGACTCGGACTCAGACTCAGACTCGGACTCGGACTCGGGCTTGGTCTCGGCCTCCACCTCAGTCTCGGTCTCGGTCCCGGTCTCGGTCTCGGTCTCGGTCCCGGTCTCGGTCCCGGTCTCGGTCTTGACCTCGGACTCCATCTCGGGTCCTTCTCGGACTCCATCTCGGATTCCATCTCGGTCCATCTCGGACTCCATCTCAGACTCCGTCTCAGTCCATCTCGGACTCCGTCTTGGTCCATCTCGGACTCCATCTCGGACTCCGTCTCGGTCCATCTCGGACTCCATCTCGGACTCCGTCTCGGTCCCTTTTTGGAGCCTCGCTTATTGCTCGCTTCGTGCTTGTTCCTCGAGCACTTTGTTGGGAGTTCCACTCCCGCTCTCGACCTTTCAAGTCGGAGCTTTTAGTCCAAATGTGTTACGCTCGTTTGGCTTTCGCTTCGGCCACTACCATGTGGCACCCTTTCTGGCTCCACTTTGGGGCCTAGGGATTTTGTGCCTCACAACTCCACCACCCATAGACGAAGTTTGATGTCCTCATCGAACGATAAATTATTTTATAAAGTAACACCACTATGTATTACCCTTTCCATTTTTGGCACCTCGCCAACATTCGTCAATGGTTTGATACCGAAGGCTCACCATGCCTTGGTCATCCTCTAAGGAGGATAGTCTCTCCAACTTAGAGACTTGATTGGACCACTTGTAGTGGTCCTTTCTGTTTATTGGTTTAGTTCTTGCTAAACCTGTTAGAGACACCGTCTCTATCTCAATCCCACTACTCCATCTTGAGTAGTCTCAATTTTCATCGATATAACCTTTGCACTTTGGAACGTTTGTTTTTGACTTCTTGAAGTCAA